CTATTCTTTTACCATTATAATTTGCCATACCTACATGAACAGATATATATTAAATAATCTTAGGTTAGGTCACCTCTCTTGATTTCGAATGAGTGATACGACGGAAAAACTTGTGTAAGTACTCGTTATTAAATTGTGTTCGTTCATAGTTCATTGATTGTTTCGTGAGTGTCTGTAACAAAAATTTAAATTACGTATTTTAATAGTAATTGACCAGAGGATATGATATAGACTCTAGAGAAGCAACCCATGGTATGTGGAAACCTCGTGGCGGCAGTTCAGTGGGGGGGGGGGAGGTTGGCTAATTGAACATTGCAGCAAATGACGCACCTGATTTCGTTTGTCCTTCGGTTGTGCGTATTAAGTCTATACGGGTCCTTTTTTTTCGGAATTCGACACCTATCAGTTTCTTCATTGGATGAGGGATCTGTGTTGGATTGTTCTCGTCATCGGCGACTATAATGATTAATGACCTGTTGCTCGTACATATCTCACATGTCTTCATTCTTGTGTTATACATGTCTGCGGATACGGTTCTGCTGCAGTGATCGTATTCTGTGGAAGTCAGAACTTAGGAGCTTAGGAGTATAATATGTTCAGATCGCATAGGGTAAATATGTATAAACTCGCACAGGTCCGTCTCATGGCGCTACGTGTATAACACATTATCGTGTAATCTGTAGAGAAAATCGTGAGACAAATTCTACCATAATCGATTAAAAAAAAAAAAAAATAGTAAAATATTCTGTCTAGTAAACTTACACAACAATGTGATATGTGATGCTGGCAGCTGATCGAATTTGCATTGTTCGTCTCGACCACGTAAGATTAAGTTATGTTATGAACTCAACTCTTCGAGCTTTTATTTTATTTTTTTTACAGACATATAAGTATCAGTTTTTTGAAACTTATAATCTAGGGAGCTAACTAATAATATCGATGTTGCTTTGCATAAATTGATGGACAAACATTTACCGAAGATTCTTATTGGTCGTTTATTGTTGTGATAGTATAAAGTGCTATCAACAAACTATTTGAAAAAAAAAACGATTATTGGGAATTCGTAATGCGTGGGTACAAGATACCTAGAGATCGTATCGACGAGTATTATTTGTGCTAATGTTTGCTTAGTATACTTACTATTTTTTTTGTAGATCCATCTACTGAATTGAATACAATCTGACTCATCTCTTCCGTGCGATGTTTCTTTATAGGCTGCTCAGGTTTAATTGATATTTTA